CCCTTCCTGCCTCTTCCAGCTTCTGGTAGCCCCAGACATTCCCTGGCTTGTGGCAGCCTAATTCTCATCTCTGCTTCTGTCTTCACATGGCCTCCTCTCTCTGTCCCTTCACATCGTCTTTCCTCTATGTCTCTAGAATACTTTTATGTCTTAATGGGAGACTAAAACTCCATATTTATACATTTAAAAAGTAAATCGAAAGATAATGCTGTGATGTCTTACTTGATTTTAATTGACTCATACTTGGTAAGCCTCTTCTAATTGAGATTTAATATGATATTCATAATTGGACTATTAAAATAACGCCTAAAAAGCATAAGAATAGCAAACAATATGTTGACACATGTTCTATTGTGAACTGTCTGAGAGTAATCTGGTTTCTTTCTTTTTTAAAAGAAATATATTTTTACTGATTTCAGAGAGGAAGCGAGAGGGCGTGAGAGATAGAAACATCAATGAGAGAGAATCATTGATGGTCAGCCTCCTGCCTGCCCCCTTCTGGGGATCAAGTCCAAAACCTGGTCATGTGCCCTGATTGGAAATCAAATCCTGACCTCCTGGTTCATAGGTCAAGGCTCATCCACTGAGCCACACCAGTGGCGCCAATCTGATTTTTAGAGGTTGTCCTAACACATTTCAATTGTCACCTTCCCCCACCCTTAAGACAGAATTATCTGAGTTTTTGCAGACATTTGGTATAGAACTATCACATGAAGTCTAGAAGGAGACAGGAGTCATCATGTTTGTAAATTCAGCACCTAATACAGTATTGCATACTTGTTTGAATTTAATTGTGTACAAATTTAATTTGCATAGGAGGTCGATTGATCAGTTTTTCTTTTTCTTTCTCTTTTTGGAATGCCTTCTTTGTGTCAGTCACTGTATTACATAATAATAAACAACAACTAAGCTACGTAAATTGCTGTTACGGCTATAAATGATTCGCAAACGAAAATTCTAGCAGTATGAATTAATTTGAATACTAGTTGGGTAATTCTAACTCCTTGGCTTTTCTTACTTTAGTGATATTGAAAAAAAATTCCAAATGATGTTTTATTTCCTAGTGTGACTGTGAAATACTATGGGAAGGCATCTCATGCTGCTGCGTATCCCTGGGAGGGAGTAAATGCATTAGATGCTGCTGTTCTTGCCTACAACAATCTCTCTGTGTTAAGACAGCAAATGAAACCAACCTGGAGAGTTCATGGTATGAATGTCAGATATTTTGTGTAATAGATGGTGCTTAATATATTTCAATGCAATATAATTACTTAATATTTGATTTTTAAAAATTAGAAACATTGGGTATAGAAACATTTGTCAGAAGTTATGTGGCAGGACACTAGGATGTTTGCCTATTTGTGGGTCAGACGACATATAAGATTATTATTAAATATAAATGGAACAGTCATTTTGAGTATTAGAGGTCCGTAGTTTTATATAAGGATCTCTCTGTGGTCATTTGAAAGTTGGGACTTGACTTTCCAGTTATCCTATCTTTTAATGATAACAAAATTTTGTCATTTCCTCAATTTAAAAAAGTCAGGGTTACTAGTTTTTATTTACTCAAGTGCTGTTAATCCTAAGTAACATCTTTTAAAATTACCTTTATATCAATATAGTAATAAAGTACTGTCTTGAAGATACAAATTTATTTTTTAGTTCATTTCTTTATGATTTGGGAAATTATTATACTTCAATATCTATTTCTTTTTTACCTGATTTAGCTGTAGACTTAAATTAGTGTGTAATTACCCTACCTTAGTTTTTAAAAAGTACTTTATAAAGCAGGTTATATACAATTAGATTTTGTATATCTATTTTAGTTATAACTTGGAAGAGCTAAATCTTCCTTCTCTGTGTAGTTCCAAATAAATGCATTTGTTTTAATAGTTTTAATAGTACTTAGTGATCTTTGACACATTGTTTTTTTTAGCATAAAAATTATTTTCCCTGAGTCAAATGCCTTTTAAAATACTCATGCAATTGTTTAAGTACAAGGGTAATTATAGAACTTCACACTATTGGGGGTTTTTCTCTTCTCATATCAAAAGTTTATCAAAATGTACAACTGTAATATAAGCTACTGAAATAAAAGCATTTTCCAGAAGGCTTAATATAGTTATAAAATTTCTAACAGTTTCTTAAAGTCAGGAATAATAATTTATTATAAATTCCTTAGAATAAAGTACATATAATTATTTTATTTCTTTTCCTGTTAGCTAGAAAGTATCACACTATGACATATAGAAACTTTTGTTGTACAGCAAAATCTTTGATTGGCATATCTGTGAAGCATATGCGTTTGAATTATTTTTCTTTATGTACAAATTGGCTGGAAAATGTTATGTGTGTATTTAAGCTTAAAGAAATGGTCTCCAAGCTCAATTCCAGTAATTTGGTTCTTTTTATAGGTATAATAAAAAATGGTGGTGTAAAACCCAATATCATTCCCTCTTATTCTGAATTAATCTATTACTTCCGTGCACCCTCAATGAAAGAACTTCCAGTTTTGACCAAAAAGGCAGAAGATTGCTTCAGAGCTGCAGCTTGTGCTACTGGGTGCACAGTAAGAACTTTTAAGAGTTAATCTAAATTATAATCAGTCATATACATGTGGACTGAGGTTGTTTATATTAAATTAGATTAGACTCTTGCTTGCTTTTTCATTTGGTGTTGTCTTGAATATGTAAATTCAGTTGACTGACTAGTTGATGTGAAAGTCTTCACATGTTACTTATTTTACTCAGTGTCTGCACCGGGAACACTACAGTCATCTTATCACACAGTAATTGGAATAACTGATTCTGCTGAGCTAGAATTCCTGTCTTTTTGCAAGTTATATCTGTCCTTATCGGTAGTTATGCTTTTAGAATTGCTCTATATAGTTTCCAGTGCAAAATCAGCAAAAGCTATTTTTTGGCGAAGTTCTAGATAGGAAGAGCAGGGGCATAAATACTTATGGCTTACTGGAGTGAAAGTTAAAATAGACACAGAAGTTAGTCAAGAGGTTTTGTTCATTTGCACCATGAAGTCAGTAACATTTATGCACCAATTCTGTAGGGCATACAGTGGCATGAGAAGTTACAGAAAGGCATAAATTTTGCCCTGCAGGGTGCCAGTCATCTGGTTGGAGAGACAAGATCTGGATCTGTGCTTCTCAGCCTCACTGATTCTGTAACTTTTGGAAACGTTATTTAATCTCTCTTAGCCTCCATTTTATCTTGAAAAATGGAGGTAATATAACCTATCTTAGAATTCTTGTGAGATTTAAGTAAGGTCATGTTTATGAAGAGTTGGGGTCTAACCCTCATACATAATACTTTCTTTTTTCAAATTATAAGAGAAAGTTTATTTAGAAAGTCACAGAGGTAGTAGAAGTGAGCCAGCTGGGATGCATAGACTCAGGAAACAAGTTACTGAGGCAGAAGGGCCCTTGGAGCTCAGGAGAAAGAAAGCCAAAGACGAAGTGCCTGGGGAAGGCGCAGCAGGCACCCAGGAGGGACAGTGCCAGGACCTTATTTTCTCCTGCCCTCATTGGACTGGAGCGGTGTGATTTATTCCGTGTCTCAGACAGTAACAGTGATTTGCAGACAGGATATGTTAAGTGTCCAAAGTAAAAAATGAAGCATTTGACCCTTGTTTATGTATAATTATAAATATTTTAAATATTTATTTAGAAAATGAATACATGAACTATGGTCATTCACTAGTATCTCAAGGTGTAATATTTCCTTAGGATAAGGTTCATTGTTACTGGATTTAAGTCTATATTTTAAATAGTTTTTTAGTAACTTTTTATATTTTGGCTGACTTATAATATCTGATTAAGTTGTCATTGTTTCTAATTTAGATGTTGCTAAGGTTAGATGTCATCTCTGCCATTTTATAATTGGCTTTTGCTAACGTCCAAGGTATTATCTTTAGTTTGAGGGAGTGGTGGCCTTTTGATTTAATCAAACCTAGATCTGTGAATTGTGAATCTTCTTTTTCTCAGGGTACCTTTGTACCTTTCAGACCAGGCAGTGGTGTCAGTATCGGTTTATATACTGAATATTAGTAAAGTGTAATTTCTTCCTGTAGAAGCCACAGCCTAGAGCAGTGTTTCTCAGAGTGTTTGGACCACCTACGTCAGAATTACTTGGGGGTGCTGGTTAAAGTGGAGTTTTCTGACACCACCCCTCCCCCCACACTCAGACACCTACCCTACTGAGGTGACTGGAGTTAAGACTCACTGGCTAGTAGAGCTAGGTGACATCATGTGATTTGGTGCATACATAACAAAGGAGACAGGGTACTAGGAACTCTCAGTAACAGAATACATTTTTGTAAGGTAAGAGACTTGAAAGAGTTTCTATCCAGAAGGGAACATGCCCCTTCTTAACCTCTTGCTATTAAAAAAACCATTGCTGGTTTGAAATTTAGATGGTGAATTTGAGGTGTTTCTTTTTCAAAATTTGTGTTTTAATTCTTAATAGGTAGAAATTAAAGGTGAAGCACATGATTATTACAATGTCCTTCCCAATAAGAGCCTACGGAAAGCTTATATTGAAAACGGGGAAAAGCTGGGAATAGAATTCATTTCAGAAGAGGATGCAGTGTTGAATGGATCTTCAGGTAATTAAGTTCTTTTATGTATTGTGCTATTTGAGGAAAAGAATTCCTTCTTTGGTTCTGTTTAACAGATTTGAAGGTAGGGAGATATTGCTGATGCTTTTAATTATATTTTTCACAAACTTAATGGCTAGGGGAAGGAAACTAATGAATTCTTCAGTGATTGTAGAGTGTCAAATGAGCAGGTTTGTTTTTAGAAATAGGCAACATACTGCCTGGCTGGTGTGGCTCAGTGGTTGAGTGTCTACCTATGAACCAGGAGGTCACAGTTCGATTCCTGGCCAGGCCATATACCCAGGTTGCAGGCTCAATCCCCAATGTGAGGCACGCAGGATGTAGCTGATCAATGATTCTCATCATTGATGTTTCTATCTCTCTCTCCCTCTCTCTTCCTCTTTGAAATCAATTAAAAAATATATATATATGTGTGTGTGTGTGTATATATATATATATATATATATACACACACACATACATACATATGTTTATATATATATGAAGTAGCCAGCATACTTTTTGCTTTATATTCTAAGTATTTCCAGTGTTAAATTTTCTTAGTTCTAAATTTTAAAAAATAATTTTGTATTTTTTTATTACAGTTGACATACAGTATTATATTAGTGTCAGGTGTATAATCCAGTGATTGGACATTATATAACTTAGTAAATGATCACCCATTACAAACAAGTTTTAAATAAGCTACTAAAAGGGGAAATAGAATTTCAATTCATTCTTAATCATCAGTATGCAGGCTACTAAGTACTTAAGTAGTTATATGGGGTCATTTTTGGTTTCTGAGAAGCAATAACCAACTGTTAAAATTTAAATAATCATAAGTCTATTGGGGTTTATTTTAGATTTTTTTCCCTTTAAAAACATTACTAATATATTTGCATCTTAGAGATGTATTTCCTAAAATATAATAATAGATGTTGATGAAGTAGACTCAGAAAAACTTGGTGATAAAAATGAGGTGTTGATGCCATTCATTAAGATAAGGAGTTCAAGAGAAGGAGCAGGTCGAGGTATGTGGGGAGGTATAAATGATTAGTATGTTAAATTTGAGGTGCTTACAGGATTTCTAAGAGGAGCTGTTCAGTGGCCTGTTGAATCTGGACTCCCAAAAGTTCCAGATTTTAGGAGTTTTCAATATTAGAAAGGTATATGAAAACAGTTAATGAGGTTGCCCAAGAAATCCTAGGGATCACTAGCACTTAGGACACAAGCAAAGGAAGCAATATAGAGGAGACAGAGAGTGGTCTGAGAAAGCCAGACAATCAGGAGAGAGTGGAGTCATGGAAGCCAAAAGAGTGGGGAGTGTCGAGAAGAGAAGGATCAGTAAATCATGCCAGGTGCTAAGAAGGCTGAATGAGATAAGTATGATCGAATATCCATTGGACTAGCAATTAGAAACTCATGGATTGTCTTACTTTCCCAAGGATCTACTGATTTTGGAAATGTTAGTTTTGTGGTTCCTGGAATTCATCCATATTTTTACATTGGATCTGATGCCTTGAATCATACAGAACAATATACTGAAGCTGCAGGTAAGTGTTAGAAGTGAATATTTTGGCACGTGCCCTCCTTTTGTAGTAGTTGCTGCCTTTCTGATTGTTTAGTTTAGATCAACATCACTTCAGAGAACTCTATATTGTGGTGGGCAGTGGAGAGGCAATTTAGATATTAAGAGCGAGCCTGAAAACTAATAATATATAATAATTCTTGGATTTGTTTTCTCAACCTTTTAGGATCACAGGAAGCCCAATTCTATACTTTGCGTACAGCCAAAGCTCTGGCAATGACTGCGTTGGATGTTATTTTTAAACCAGAGTTGCTAGAAAGAATCAGAGAGGACTTTAAATGGAAACTTCAAGAAGAAGAGTTTTTAAATAGAGTAGAATAAGAGGAAGATTGAGGAGAAGTGATGATTTTTTTTCTTCATTTTTTAATGAAGGAGGAGGGCATGTTTGTTTTTCAATCTTAAAGGAATCAAATTTCTCTTCCTGAAAAGTGAGGGCATGGTGTGGAGAAAACACATGAACTCTTAGCTAAAACTAAAATGTTCACAGATCTACATTTGATAGAATTGTGATCTTTCAGGAGCTGGTATGTGGTGGCATTTCTTAAACAACCTGGATGACACATGGTTTATCAGTGATAATAGTGTATAAGTTCATATGTTGTGTAAGTATATTTCAAAAGGTCCAAGAGATTTCAAACCTTATATTCAGAATTGACTCATGAAAGATTTTTTTCCTGGTATAGGGTGGTAAATTTGTTTTAGAAAGTAGTTTCAAAATTCAAGTTCTGAATTTGAAGGAAGTTCATTTTGATGTCTGACTGTGTTTGTTTTGGTTTAGAGACTGTTTTCATTGGTAGTAAAAGTAGGTTTTTAATCAGAAATGCTGTGGGAAACAACCAGAAACTCAGGTACAAAGAATAAGCTTTAGTTTATGTGAATTGTAATAGAAAAAATTACAGATGTATAATATTAGACTCTTCCTCTAAGTTGTCTACTTGATAGTCTAGTGCCATGGTCGGCAAATTGCGGCTCGCGAGACACATGTGGCTCTTTGGCCCCTTGAGTGTGGCTCTTCCACAAAATACCGACTTCTGCTCATGGGCCACGAAGTTTCAATTGCACTGTACATGCGTGCCTGCACGTGGTATTTTGTGGAAGAGCCACACTCAAGGGGCCAAAGAGCCGCATGTGGCTCGCGAGCCGCAGTTTGCCGACCACTGGTCTAGTGTGTTCTAAGCGGACTTAATGAGAGAAGAACAATGTCTATCTTGAATGGTAATTACTCAGGCTTCTACTCAGAAACCAGGCTGTCCAGCCTGGGTACACAAAGTATTGCAAGTTTTTCCTGGTTCTTATTTTAGTGTGAATTTTTTAAACGTGATAAAAGGATGTGGGAAAAGTATCTGCTTAAGCAAATATTTTAAGCTGTGAATATAGCAAAGCTTCAGTATACTTTATTTTAAAGGGAGTCCTCAAACTTGAGGGTAAATATTCTAAAATGGAAGGGGAAGGAGAGAAAAGTGAGCATTTGGCCTCTGCTGTAAGCAAGTCATTTGGGCCCCTCTGAGCCTTCAGCTCTCCATTTGGGAAGTTAGAATAAATCACTTACACTTACAGTCCTTTGAAACCCCAATTCCTAATAGTTTGGGGGGAGTGTTGGTACTTTAGAATTGCTTATCTTCTACGTCAGAGGTCAGCAAACCACAGTCTGATTTGGCAAGCAGCCTGAATTTATGTGGTCAGCATCCTAAAAAATGACTGGGGAGGGGAGAAAGGAACAGACCAGTTGATGTGACCTCAAAACTAAAAATATTTACTGTCTGGTCCATTACAAAAAAATGTTTGCCAGCTCCAGTCCTATGTAACAGTAAAATAAAACCTGTTTCTCTTTGATTTCCATCATATAATCAGATGTTCTCCTAGGATAAAACTCACGCCTCTATTGAAAATAGTGGCAAGAGGGATGTAGATGGCAGTGCCCTGACTTGACCGTTACACTGCCAAGTTTGTCCTCATTGGAGTTCTGGCCCTTCAGAAGTTTGCCTTCTTTTAGCATTTACTTCTTTCGGGGATGCAGCTACCCTGCTGCCTTAAGACCTTGCCCTGTGAAAGCCAGTCTTCTAACTTTTCATCTCAACTTTCAGCATTTGAACCTTCACGCTGCCCTTTGTCTGACTATAATCTCAAAAAGTCATGGTTGGTGTATATTTTATACACAGGGGAGGGATCCACAAAGGTTTTAGGCTGAGAATTGGTTATGTTCGAGACCTCCGGTTTATATGAATAGTTAGCTTCCTAATAATCAATTTTATAAAATTTTCAACTGTAAGTTTTAAATTCCTGCACTCGGGAATGGGGTTTATTTTCTAAAGCCTTGATAACATTCTAGAACAGTGATTGCTAACTGGTATCCAACACACTAATATTCTCCCGTCTTCTGTGAAGTGTTACAAGTTGTTACTCATACAAACTATTTGTGGTTTTCTTGTGATTAAATTCCTTTTTAAAAACATATCGGAGATCATTGAAGACAGCATTCTCTTGCTTCACTTGCATTCTTGTGTGGGAGAGCAGATTGTGGCGTGCAGGTTGCTGGCACGCAGGGAACAGGTATAATCTGCACCATGCCGTCCGCCACAACCCATGGTGAGGAGCTAATATTCATGTACTACTAAGATTTGGGTCACTTTTGAGTTTCTGTCATATTTTATTTCTTTTTCCATTTTTGAAAAATTTGGTCCAAATAAGGGTCTACCCATTGGACTAGGTCATGGAATTATGTCAGGAAAGAGGTTGAGAACTGATGTTCTAAGTCTAGAAGTATGAGATTTTTTTCCCCAGATCTTTGTTTTACGTGATGTTACTTTAACATTTTTTATATAATTCAGATTTTAAAATACCTTTTTAATTTTCATATACCAGTGAGTTAATTGAGCCATATTACACTATAAAGTGTAAGTAAATACATAAATAAATGCTGGAGTCAAATTCTCATGTCCAGAGCAACCGACTGTAACTAATCTTTGTTGAGCTATTGGAATTTGGGAGAGTGCTTCCTTTTGTAGTGCTAGTTTTTCCTTTTGGGACTAAGTTCTTTCTTTACCCTCATACTCCAGTGGCATGTTTTCTAAATAATTGTGCTAAATTTCCCTAAGTATTTATTCTTAGCTTAAATTATCATTGTTGGCTGGTTAGTTGGTTCTTACATTTTGGATTAAATCTCCAAACATTTTGGAAGTTAAAGAGGGAAGCATTAGATTATAGGTGAGCAGTGTCACTTTTAGAAGGGTTATATTTAGCTCTTTATGTTTAAGAGATGAATCCTTATTTTTAGAAGGTTGAAAAATAAATAGAACTTCAAAATTTTTATAATTTTGTATCTTGTTCTTGAGGAAGGGGGCAACTAAGTTTTCCTCTCAGAATTGGTTTGAGTGATGAGATTCTTATTATTCCTCCACAAGATTATATATTTTTTGAAGCCACAGTCTTTTCAATTTGCTTAATTTGTTTCAGGTTCACCAAACCTGACTCAGTTGGGGGGAAAAGGCCAAGCTCATTTAGTGCAAAGTTTAAGATTATATGATTTCTTAAAATGTTAAATTAGTTTCTGACCTAAACTAGAGGTATAGGTGGACCTGCTTGAGGTGCCTTTGTTTTTATGGAAAATGTTTTTATTACACACACACCTTTTGCAAAGCCTTTTCCTCAAATCTCAACTTTTGGCTATCAATGTTAAAAGGTATAATCCGGCCCTGGCTGGTGTGGCTGTTGGTTGAGCGTTGTCCCATGCAGATGATTGGTAAGAGTACTTGCCCAGGTTGCGGGCTAGATCCCTGGTAGGGTTGCGTGTGGGAGGCAATTGATTGATGTTTCTCACATCGATGTTTCTCCCTGTCTCTCCCTCTCCCTTCCTCTCTGTCTAAAAATCAATAAAGTCATGTTTTTAAAGGTATAATTCAAATTAATCTAAATTTAATTACAGATTGAAAATATTTTTCTCTTTACTGACTTAATTTTATTTTTTTCCATCACCATCTATCCACTCTATGCCCTTTTCCAACTCTACCCACCCACATCCCCCCATCCCACAATTACCACACTGTTGTCCATGTCCATGAGTTATTTTTTTTTTTTTTGGTTTCATATATTTTTATTGATTTCAGAGTGGAAGGGAGAAAGAGAGAGAGAAATATCAATGATGAGAGAGAATCATTGATCAGCTGCCTCCTGCACACCCCACACTGGGGATGGAGCCCACAACCCGGGCATGTGCCCTGATATAGCATCAATCTGTGACCTCCTGGCTCATAGGTCGACACTCAACCACTGAGCCACACTGGCCGGGCGATCTCTCTCCCTTACTCCTCCCTCAAGCCCTCCATGTAGTGACTTAATTTTAAAAGCAGGCCTGAATAGGAGGCATGTGTAAAACAATCATGTGGTACTATGAATAACTAAGTTGCTATGTATCATATAATAAGATTGGGGATAGCTAATATTTAGCTTGCCTCTTATAATTTTCAGACTGTTTTCTAGTTTCAACATACTCTACGTATTTTGTAATCTAATTTTATAGATGAGGATGGCGCATTTTGATATGTATGATGTTAATATTTTCAAGTAAGCAATCACTGTCTACTACCATCACATGACAGTAGTTTTAAAAAACATTTTAATACGTATTAGAGTATGTTTTAAAAAGTAGAATGTTAATAAATGTTTTCTAATAGTGATTGTCATGTGTTTTTTTCCAACATCACACCATTATGCAAATATAAGATAAAACATAATCACCCAAATATACTATTTTATGATCATTAATACATTGTTATCACATGATGTTGGTGTGCTTTTAAATTATAAATGTTACATTATTCATATAATGAGAATTTTAAAGAGCAATTAAGTCCTTTTGCTTAAAAACTGATGTTTTCATAGTCTTACAACCTGAAAATATAAACTAGAAAAAAATATCAGGTCAAGGTATCCCAGCCCTCCCTTCATTCAAGGCTTCTGAGGCTATAAGTAGGCTCAAATCTGAGAGTTTATTAAGGGCTGTGACACTGTTTTTGTTATTTGAGTTAGATGTTTGTTCATTTGACCTAGAACTTTTATGCTCATACAGATCACAAAAGAATTTAGCAGGCTTTCTATTTCATTTCTGAGAACACTATGCGTAACAAACGAAAGCCATAGATCTGTGTGCGTTCGACTATCCTGATTGCTGCTGTGACTCTGCTGTCCATTGTGGCAAACTCTGGCCACTGAGTGCCACCGCGTGGCCCCTGCCACCCAGGATCCAATGGCTGCCACTGCATTCAGGCTTTCCAGTTGGGTCCCTGCAGTTCCCACTACAGCGTGTGGCCTACAGAGAAGAGCAATCACAGAGCTCTTCAAGGAGCTCCATTCACAAATTTACTGCTCAAAGTATTGGACCTTCCCAATATGGGTGAGTAGGTTTCACATGACAAACCCACTCTATGGTACTTTGCTATAGTAGCTCCCGCAGACTAGTACAGCATCCTATATGCTGGTTCAAATGGTGAAATTTCCCAAACTAGGCAGATGGATGTTCAGATGATGTACCCTGGAAATCTGCTAGAATCTAGCAGCTAGATAATTTAAGGTGGTCTTGGTTATAAGGAAGAAGCCCTTGGCAAAGATATCTGTGAAGCGTTTGATTGAAATTGTTTCATAAAATGAGCATAAAAAAGTAATGTTTTAAAAATAAAATTTAATATTATAGTTAACAATTAACTATTTTTTTATATCTCTTTAAGTTTATTTACCCAAGTGTCAAAAAACTTTTTTTGATGAGCTCTTATTAGGGAAAATTGCCTTAGGATTTGTGCAAGTATGTTTTGTGTATGGTTTTTGTTAATCCTTACCTGAGGCTTTTTCCATTTATATTTAGAGAGTGGAAGGAAGGGAGAGAAACAATGATATGAGAGAGACATATCAATTGGTTGCCTCCCACATATGTCCCTACTGGGCTGAGGATCGAATCTACAACCCAGGTACCTGCCCTTGACCAGGAATCGAACCCAAGGCCCTTTGGTGCATGGGCCGACACTCTAACCACTGAGTAACATAGGCCAGGGCTGGGGTTTTTTTTCCAGATGGGAATAAAGTATATAGTCCTTCCTGTATATGAAAAATACAATATTATTTAGTATAAATGATTAGTCAAATTAACTTGGAATGAAAATTACATTATTATGTATAGCATTCACTTTATTAAAGTGAGTTTCAAACAAATGCTGTTTGGATAAGTTTGATGGGGGTTGATCCTATCGATATATATTAGTAACTATTTGTTTTAAATGATACATCAAATTAGAACCCTCTCCTTTGTCCCATGCCCTGACATTAGTGGCCATTGTTTTCTGGTTCGGAGAAAATGCTGGTATTCATTGAGTCTGAATGCAGATGTCCAGTGATGCCTTCCCATTCACTTTGCTTTTTGCTGTTCTTTTTCTCTTCGGAAACCATGTGAGTGTTTCTCATCCTAATAAGTTACAGGTAGTCCCAAACTATGCATTTTCTTCAAGTGTTTATACGGGAAAAATCAGTCTATTCCCAAGTTCCTCAGTAAAGATATTCCCAAGGAAGGACTTTGAACTAGGACATGCTCCACGGTAGAGATACATGAAGCAGTAATTATAAGACAGGAAACACTTAAACACTAGTTATCGCTACCACAAAACTGACAAAATGCCATGCATGCCCCTTATCCTCAAAGTATCCCGACCAGGGAAATACCTACCAAAATCAAAGCAATTGCACCATAAAAAGAGCTTTTCTCATGAAGAGGTGAAACTTGATGATCCACAAGATGTAAATGCAAATAGGAATATCATTATTGCCTTGTAGTGAAATAAACATGAGGCAATACACTAAAAATAGGCAGTAGGCTATAAACTGAAGCATGAATTTTGGTCAAAGTGGGGACTTGTAGGTGCATGCATGTTTCATACAAATGAACTTCAGATGTAGTCCAAGTGCACCTCGTCCAAAGAATGTAACATAAAGGAAATCATTCCTGTGAATAAGCGTTTAGGGTCTAAAAGAGGTTGAACTACAGTGTGCCCACAAGCCTGTCAGTGTATTCCCAGGAGATTCCAGTAACAACTATCTTCAGTTGCTATGGGTATTGTATTTATGCAGCACCTAGAATCATTCTGTGTGTACAATAGATGGTTCATAAGTGCAAATTAAACCAGGAAGTCTCTTGTCAAGGTAGTTTTGGACAAGGGTAGGTACTGGGAACCTTTTTTTTCATAACCTTACTTTTTATCATACAGATATTTCTGTAGCACACACAAAAGAATGAAATTTACAGAATTACAGGCATCTATGAGAAAATTGACCAGTATATTAAGTTGAATAAGATGTACGCTGCTGGAAAGATGATCCTGGAGTATTTATCGATGGCGTGGGTGTCGATCCTCATGCTCACGTAGCTGTTCCTCCGACTTTTCCTCTGGGGGGAGCTCCTCTCAGAGGCCAGCGTGAGCTGCACCATCATCCTGTCTGGCTTCTCGCCATTCTCTGGCGTGTAGTTGCCCAGGTCATTCACCTCCACGTCGCTATAGCTGCTATCCAGCATGACAGCGCGTGGCTGAGGTAGTCCACAGGTGCAGGGAAGCTGTGAACACACCAAACACACGTTGGGATGTGAGCTCAGCTTCCTCTCTCAGAAGCCCTTCTTAGGAGAAACTGCATAGTGGAGAGGGTGGCCTTTTTCTAGTTTCTTTTATTCCCAGTTGGGGTGGGAGGTGGGAAAATAATGGTGGTGGCACAGTAAACATTCTAAAATAGCGGGTTATTTGTTTAAAGTCTACAAATCAACTCTTAGGAAACTTCATGTCGTACCAGAGACCAAGAAGAATGTTCATGGCCAGAGAGCCGCCCTATTCTCCACCAGACCATTAACTGCTAGCAGCCGGGATACAAATGTTTACAGATAACACTCCTCAGAGACAGAGAGGAGTGGGAGGAGGAATTTGAAAAGCGTGGCATCGTGGCAATAGTTTGCTACTATATAGTTAGAGTTTTCTGTAAGAGATAACCACTGAGCCGCAGGCAGGAGGAAGAAAGAAAAATCAGGTGGAAGGGAAAATAACCTGGAAAATGATGTGAGGTGTTTGAGATCACGTATGAAGAGAGATTCCTTAGAATAGCGTATGTGCTTCTCTGGAAGCTTCTTTAATTACACCTCTATGCCATTAAATAATTTGTCCCACCATGCTAAATTGTCCTTTATTTTCATCACTATGAACACCACCAAAATTAAAGGGACCAACGTCTTAGTTAACTTGGCTTAGCAGCTCCTGGTATATGGTAGGTGCTAAGTTAAGTGTTTGAATGAATGAGGGATGTAGCCCAGAGTGAATTGCACACTGCTTCAACATGGTAGCTTCCAACCCCATCAAGCAGGTGGAAGAAGGCGTGTCAGCCCCATTGTACAGAGGACGTCTGACCTGCCCAAGGTCCGAGGTCCAGAGCTAGACCAGGCTACATGCCTGAGCAGACACTTCAGCTCATGGGAAAGTCACCTTCTCCCGCAGCTTCCGCTCCTTCCGCTCCTGCACGGTGGTCAGGTAGTTGACGGCCGCGTACTCCAGCACCGAGAGGAACACGAACACAAAGCTGACCCAGAGGTAGATGTCCACGGCCTTGACGTAGGAGACGCGGGGCATGGAGGCGTTCACGCCCGTGATGATGGTGGACATGGTCAGCACTGTGGTGATACCTGCAAACAGAGTGAGAAATAAGCACCTGCTTGTCTTCCACCCAGCATACCAGAGGGCTTCACACCTCTGTTCTTTGTCCCTCCTGATCCTTCGGCCTTGAATGTCTACATCCCTGCCCCTCTGTCTAACAAACACTTACTCATCCTTCAAGATTGAGCCTTTATGAAGCACTCCAGTTCCTCCTCCCTCAAGATCACCCTCCCACACTTTGTATACCTGCTTACTCTTCATAGCACCTGCATCACCTTCTCCTGTTGCTAAGAACCCCAGACATTTTGGCAGCAAGACATTTATTTCCATTCAATTGTTAAAAGAAAAATTACATAAACGTTTCTTGTAACTACTTCTCTAAAGAAGGAAACAAGTACTTGGGTTTATTTGACTATTTGTGTCCTTGTTGCTGTGGTCTCGTCTTATAGTTCCAGGCCTGTATCATCAACTATCAAGACACCTCTGGCAGACAACCCCCCCCCCCCCCCCCCCGGGCCCTAGTCAGCAATGTCCATTTTATCAAAGATGATGATGGTAACCTCATTTAAAGGAGACAGGTATTTAAAATTAGAATGTATATATATTTTTTCGCACAGTAACTGTTTAAGCAACAGAACAACTGTTAAAGGCCAGGGCATCTGTCAGTGGAAATTTGCTCGGGATTTCAAATTAAGCTCAGAACATTTGCTTGCAAACACTAAATCACAGGGGATTGGGGTCATCTTAAGGGCCAGCTCCAACCCAGTTTCACTAAAACCTGGTGGGTCACCCTCTCCCTTGAAGCCACTGAACTATGTGAGCAATAATAGTGTGTGATTGAGTAGATGCAATATTTATTTATTTATTATTTTAAATAATTTTATTGATTTTTAGAGGGATAAGAAGGGAGAGGGAGAGAGAGAGAAAGACATCAAGGTGAGAGACAACAATTGCTGCCTCCTGCACGCCCCCTACCAGGGATCAAGCCCACAACCCGGGCACGTGCCCTGACCAGAAATGGAACCAGCAACCTTTTGGTGCATGGACTACGCCCAACCAGCTGAACCACACTGGCTAGGGCTAGCCAGTGCAATATTTAAAATGGGGAAGAGCGTTGGTGGCAAATTGCTATAAATGGAATGTTCATAGAATAGGGGTTCTCAGACTTGAGTACGCATAAGAATTAGTGGGAGAACTTGTTCAAAATGCAGGTTCCTGGTCCTCTCTCTGGATTCTCATTCTGTACATATAGATGATATGCAGGATTCTTCTTTTTAAAAATGTCCCTTGGAGATTCTGTCACAAAGATTCCTTGGGCCACTTTTGAGAAAACCTGTTATAGAGTGTGATCTTTTGCAAGTGGACAGAGAGAGCACCCACAGACCGAGATCACCCATCCCAAAATGAGGCTCAGACAGGACTGAAGTTGGAACGTTTGCATGGGCACCGGGGGGTGGGCGGGGGGAGGGAGAGGGGACCTGAAAACAATTTTTCTGCCTGGATTTTTAATAATGGTACTTTACCTGTGAATAAAGACCTTGCAGTGTGTTCAAGTTTTAACACCAAATAGTGGTCTACTAGTAGGACCACTTTGAAATGAAGGGTTTTATCTGGAAGGCATTATTTGTATTTTCAGATGCTTGGAATGTGCACTTGAAATATTCCTTACCTAAGGGGACTCTGGCAGGCACAGCTCTGCGGTCGATCCAGAAGGACACCCAGGACAGCATGACCATCAGGGTGGCAGGGAAATAAGTTTGGAGCAAGAAAAAGAAGATGTGGCGACACAACGTGAAGTTAATGTACAGACGGTTGTACCAGCCTGGGGGACACAAGGAAGAAAATACAGCACACACCATAGCTATTCAGCTCCTTCATAAATCAAATTTTATTCAGGGAATCATCAATGTCTTAGACACTCCACTGGAGCCTGGCCATACCTTTACAAAGTGGAGGTGAGAAAAACCATGGAACGGAGTGATTATATGTTACCCATACCACACGGATGATTCCATCTCAAGAAATCTTTGACCCCTGTTCTATACACAAAGGGAACCCCTTGAGAAGGTCATTTGAGGCTCTTGTTACTCACACGATGAACAGGACCCAACAGCATCACCATCACCTAAGAGCTTAGAAGTGTAGACTCTCGATCCCCACCCCAGATCTACTGAATCAGAATTTTCTCTTAATAACACTCCCCATGTGATTCACACACACATTAAAGTTGGAGAGGCACGGATTTAAACAACCCCGTTTGGATGGTTTTATGGAGGAAAATGTGTTTTAAGTTAAAACATCAAGCTAAACACAGCATCGCGTTTAGGAACAGAGTGAACAATCACAGGTCCAGTCACGCTTCAGCTTGGACTTTGTGGTCTTTACAAGGGAAAAATATGCATGGAGGAGTTGAGAGGAATGGAGAACAATGAAAGGAAAAGGCAAGATAAGCTCAAGATGACAAGGACTGGAAATAAAATGGGGACTTGGCAACATTAATTGGAAAACTTGGCATCCAATTGGCAAGTTTAATGCAATGTTTATAATTATAACAGTTTCTGAAAGTGATTGTAGAGGTTCTGTGGACTGAATGTTTGTGTCCCCACCCCACCCCTGAAATCCATATGTTGAAACCTAATGCCCAATGTGATGGTTTGGTGAGGAGGGACCTTTGGGAGGTGATGAGGTTACGAAGGTGGAGCCCTCATGAATGGGATTAGTGCCCTTACACGAGACCACAGAGAGTCTGTGAGGACACAACGAGAAGGGGGCTGTCCATGAACTAGGAGGTGGGCTCTCATCAGACACCGAATCTGCCAGCACTTTGATCTTGGACTTCCCAGGTCCCAGAACCGTAAGAAACAATTTCTGTTATTTAGGAGCCAGCCACCCAATCTGTGGTATTTGTTAGAGCAGCCCAAACAGGCTAAGACAAAAGGGAATCTCACAATGCTAAAGGTTCAATGGATGGGGAGCCCCTGAGGAACCAAGATTCATGGGTGATACGTAAAGAAGATAAGATGTGCTAGATTGCCATACGTTGGAAGTAAAAGGTTGCCCTATGTTTACATCAGAAAGACTTACAAGGTTGCACTTCCCTCTGCAGTCAATCATGCTATGTGTTAGCAATGGAAACTGCATAGAGATCCTAGCAAAATCATCCTGAAAGGTGACTCGTCAAGAAAGAGGCAAGGGCTGGAAAGAGGGGACCTCAGCTGTTAACTTCAGATTCCAGAGGGAAGACCACAGAGCATACCCTCAGGCAACAGGAGGCGGCAAGCCTGCCCAGAACCTTGGTTCAAAAAACAAATTGCCCACAGGGAAATGACCAGTAGTTCTTGCACTGAGGCTCACAAGAATGTCACAGAAGGAGCTGTGCAAGCAGCACAGTAAGAGAAGATCCCTTAAGACTGGAGCCCCGTAGAGGGCCTGGCTGAAGCAGAGAGAATGTGAATGGAAAATGACAGACCTGAAATTGGACTGCTTCTTGCCTGCAGAGAACAGGGGGTTTGGTAATCATATCAGGGTGAGCTGCCTGATGCTAAACGGTCATTACTGATGTTTTCTAGGTTCTCACTTCTGATGCTTTGTTGACGTCAAAAAATCACCTCCACCCAATGCTCACCACCCCCTGACCTGATTTAGCTTTCCCTTCTTTGGTGTCTAATTCGAGTGGCACAGGTTCTACTCACTTGGCAGCCAGTTCAAACCCTTTTTTAAAATAGAGGATGGCCCATCCCAGTCAGGCTAGCGCTCGCCAGACCCTCAGCCCACCCTACGCCCACCTGTGCTGCTGTAGAAGGCCAGCTTAGTGGTGGTGTGGAATTCTTGAATGAGGAACTGGGAGAGTGAGATCCGCTCATCTGTCTTTAATGAGTCATTGCCTTTTTTCCAGTACAGCATCAGGTCATCTTCTGTATAAGCATCTGAAAAGATGGGAGAGAGCATGCGGCATGTGGCGGTGGGAAGACACGCCTGTCTGTGCAGGTCTGTGGCATAGAGCTCCTAATTCCTGCAAAAGCGTTCACCATGCAATTCAGCCTGCCATCTATTCAATTAAACCAAATGAAATCGCTGTTTCTGTAGATCACAAGTGGTTAAATAATGGCAGAATTGCATATGGTTTTCAGCCTTCAAAACCAGGGCAATTTAGCCCTTTCTTCTTTCCAAGTGTAGGGGTGCATCATTGGTGGCAAATGCCTTTACCACTCTCAGTGATAAGGAAAAGACCCAGAAAGAGACAGGAGCAGAACACATCCCTGTTCTGTAGGCCTCCCGCTGCTCCTGTCAGAACTACTTAGGAGCTGCATGCTAACATCTGGCACAAGGCTACTCACAGCTTTCAATTTCAAGCGAGCAGGTTTGTGTGTCCAGGGGAAATCGGCTGAAGTCCATATTGCACATGGCGGTCACTGTAACCCTGAAAACAAGAAGAAACGTCCGGGTTCTCAGAGGATGCAAACTACAAGTGCACAATGCAAAATGCAAAAACAAACAGAAACGGCCTCCTTCTTATAATTCCTAAGCAATGCATCAGGACTTAGATGGAGCAGTTTATGAGTGATACCCTCCTCAGCATACTCTTAAGTGTTTAAGTTTAACCCCGGTGTCGGTGTGAGGCAAACAGAATGCCTCTGCTAACTCCTATCACGTTCATGCATTTTAAAGAAGCAATGGTCTCAGTCAATATAACTGTGATATGCAGGCATACCTCATTTTATTGTACTTTACTTTATTGTGATTCACAGATGTGTCTTTTTACAAACTGAAGGCAAGACCCCCCAGCAGCAAAAAGATTATGACTCGCTTTATTGCAGTGGTCTAGAATTGAACCTGCAATATCTCCGAGGTATGCCTGTATTGTTCCTCTGGTTTGAGATAAATTCAAGTTCTTCTGTTCTTTTATTGATCATATTGATATCAATATGTTGATATTCAATATGTTGATATTGATTATATTGATATTATATTTGTGTACTATGTTTCAGAAGTAATATTAATGAACCCTTAATGCCAGTTGCCAAATGCAGCACTTTTTTTTACAGTGTTCATATTTTTATATTGATAATAATGTCTACTAATGAATATAGATGTTTTTAGTGCATAAGCCCATGGAGACTATATAATGGAAAAACACTGAGAGATCTTAGTGTACCAACATGCAAGCATCTAATGGTTTTGTTCTATAATTACACAGGAAAACAGGCTTCTGAATCAAAGAATAAACAAGTAGATCATCAGTCATAGAAGAAAGCTCTCCCATCTTATGGCAGGACATGACTAATATGGCTGGTATTCAACATACTATTTTTTCTTCAATAACAGAAAATTGGCTACATAGAAGTAGAAAAACAGACATGGGTTAGATTACACCACAGACTGTGCTTGTTCAGTGTGTGGGTTACAAGTGGAGAAGCATCAAGTCAGGATGCACCCACCCACATTCCGGTCCTCATACTCTTAACTCTTCCCAACAACTCCCTGGCACCCAACATGCTCTTAATAGAAATGTATTCTGTTAATTAATCAATGAAAAGATGAAGTTGGAAGATGGTATATTAGAACATATTTTAGGAGTTAACCTTTTGCTGACAGAGTTGACAATATCCAGCTACTCTATGTTTTTCCCCAAATAAATCTCAAAATGATAGTGTTTAGAAACTTAGGCCTCTTTTTTCCCCTTTTAAATCAAACAAACTCATGATTTTATTTGCAATAAAAGCATCAAATCATCTGTTTTTAGGCACAAGGAGGCTCACTGACAACTTTGATTCTGAACACACAGGTCTTCCCTTCTCTTGTTCCCTCTGTTCTGCCTCATGCTGTCACATCCAATGATGTGTTGAATCAGACATCTACCGGCTCATGAGAGCCAATAGCTGCATTTTCAGGAGGTTTGCAAGCTGGTTGTTAAACATAGCCATTATTAAAAATAAATTATATAAATTTAAAATTAAATAAGTTAAGCACTAAAAATAAACGTAATAAATATTCAAAACTCATCACTTCTGAATTATTTTCTATTATCTATACTCCTGAAGTTACCTACATCTACTATACTGTATTTATATGATGGAAATACTATCTAAAGATGAGCTACCACCCATTTCTTCCCAACACTGCATTCAGTGACATCAGATAGCTTGAAATCAGCCAGGATGGGCATATTCACACTACAGAAACTGGCAAATTCTGCAAATCAGGGCTTGATTTATTGCTTTGCTGACTGTTTAGACTTAAGAAAGTGTCTGAAGAAAGCAGATTAAACCTAACAGTGTATTATGGCTATCACCATTACATGCAAAAAAAGGGGGTTTAAGGGGACCAGAGAGCTGCAGGAGGGGAGTCATTGAAAAGAATGCATTATTTATTTCTCTGACTCCCACTAGAAAAATAAAACTTTTATTATAGTAAAGGTTTTCCATTGCAATGTAACAGACAGGGTAGAACATAAGTCATAACTATCAGCTTGAGGAATTTCCCCAAGTGTATTTTCAAGACTGAGTAACTCTTTACTTGTGTATAAGAGTTCATTTTTCTTGATGTTGAAAAGTTGACAGCTCCTGAAGAGTTAAAAGCCAGCTATTTTTATTCCAAAAGCAAAGTACCTGTTGTAGAACCAATGACTTTCTTGTTTTAGACAAATTGCTTGCTTTTCTTCCCAAGCTCGAGGTATAAACACACCAACTCCGCAGGCAAAAGGGCCCAGAGGGAGGACGGAGCCGGGCCTCACCTGAGGCTGTAGAGCACTGTCCCGTCGGGCTGGACCCGCAGCATGACGTTCTCCGTGGTGGTGTCGTGGATGAAGGAGCGCTTGGAGTGCACAAAGAACATGTCGGGGACCCAGATCTTCTTCACCAGCCGCCCGTCAAACGTCATGCTGAGGTTGTTGGTGCTGGGGAAGGACAGCCTCTCGTCCTTCCAATAGTGCCTCAGGTAGAGGGTCATGGTGAAGTCCTGGGGCAGAGGGCAGAGAGGGGAACCCCACACACTGAACCCACTGGTTGTCAGCAAGGCATTCTCTACCCCTGTGGAGCCATCTGGGAGTGAAACTGAGCTGCCAGCACTGTGCCCCGCTGCTGCTGCCAGAGGCTCCCGGGGGCACACACAGGGCAAGCAGGAGACTAAATGCCTCTGGAAGCAGCTCTCAACCGGAGAGTGGGGTTGGGGGCTGAGGGGGATGGATAAGTGCCCCAGCGCCCTGGACACTCAGTTGGGACAACCCTGAAGTGTGCTCCGTGCTGACTCCCAGAGTACCCCAATGGGACGGTGTTTCACCCCCCAATAGTAAGCGATTTGATGGCACTGCCCTTTTCGCTCCATTCCCTTCCCTGTCTCACCTTCCCACTCTCTTCTCATGTTTCCTGGAATCACCTCCCAAATAAACGCCTTGTGCTAAAATGCTGTCTCAGGTCTGCTTCTTGGGGGACCCAAACTAAGATAAGGCCCTCAAAAGTTCTGTAAGTCAAGAAGTTCTAGACTGTTCCATGTTTTAAATCTAAACCCAAAGATGACAAAAGGGACACTCTGCTTCTGCATTTCCGCAGCCAGACAGAATCCGCAGCAGTGGGAGGTGCCTGGCCACTTGGCAGCGGCAGCCTTGGGCCCTGCTGTTTATGTTCGAGAGCCTTTGCCCAGAGAACACTTCCTGATGCCAGGAGCCGGGCCCAGGAGGACGAAGATCAACTCTGTCATCTGGCTCTGCTTCATACCACGTGGGTGGCTTTTGGTAAGTGTCTTACTCTCCCTGAGCCATCTGTACCATGAGTGTGGGAATGCCCACCGCCAGGGCAGAGCTCTGGCCAGCACCGGCCCTGCGTGGATTCCCTTGGCCGGAAAGAGAAGCACTTACCATATCGACTTCTGAGATGCTGTCCAAGCTTTCCACCTGCACATCCACGCCAACAGGAATGGCCGGACCTGCGGACAGGGAATGGCAAGAGCATTTAGTCTTTTAACTTAAACTTTTACTATGAAAAATTTAGGCATAAGGAGCATTCCCCCTGGAACCTCAGTGTATGTCAGATTTCAAGGTCTGGTGTTCCCACATGCCACGCTGAAGTCAAACCAGAGATCAAAGAATGGAATCATGGGCTGGCTCCCTGGAATATTCCAGCAAAAGTCTAAAAATATATATTGGTCTTAATCATCCAGGTGATTCTGAAACAAGGACGTTAATATACCACATCCCTGGTTGGCTACACATGCTCCTGTAAAGCTACAATGAAGACCGAGGTCAAAGCTGATCAGAACCAGGTCTGGCCTGAGGAGTTACTCCTTAGCATGAGGTCATCCACTTTATTTTTTATATCTTCCTCCTGATTCTGCACCCTCTTTCATCGTGGAAGCCAATGCCTCTGTCAGGCCGTGGGAAAGGCATTGCTTAATAAATAGACACCCAGAACCAAAGTCATACTCAGATGATTTGCCAAGCCCACAGATCTGCATCTTGGCCCCGTGATGG